CCTGTGGAAACAGTCCACTTCTTCCCTCGCACAGGCACACACTTTAAAGCCGTCAAGTATTCTGAGTTCCCTGGTCTGATCAAAAAGCCCCTCTTCTAATAAAAAGCCAAACGTTCGGTGTCATGGGATTTCAGACTGCTTACCTGACCTCTTCCCGCTTACACAGTTTCCCAAAAACATCAAAAAGATCAGTCATTCTCCTGCTCACTGTGCCAGAGAAAATTTACACAGTCAGAAACAACACAGTAGCCAACTGGTGCTATGTGAGAGATTTGGGTTACATTCTTAACCACACAGTGGGCTTTTAGAACACATCTCTCCTGAGTACAGTCTCATCACAGAATCACTTACCAGTGTGAAGAAAGGATCAAGCTGGCTTTAGGCTCCTAAATTCAGGAAGGCCCTTATACTTGAGAATCCTAAATGGGCACATTTCTACACAGAATTAGCATTTAAGGCATATTCGTCCCCACCCCATCTTCCAAGGCATTTCTTAACAGGCAATGCAGACAGATGCATACTTATCCTGTTAGCTGCTGTCCCATGACACGGCAGAAGACTGCAGTGCTCCTAACACAGGACTGGAATATGGTTTAGTTACATGCTGCAACACACAACTCCCTTTGCGCATCTCACTACAAATCGCCACGCCACTGGAAAAAAAGTTGCAACCTGAACTTTCAACAGACATTCTAGAATATGATAACCTTGCAATTAACAAGGTAAAGTTAACCAGTGTATCCATTTCTTAATAAACAATGCTTGTGAATTAGGAGGCACTATTACAACATGAGTCAAGCTGAGCCATTTACCATTCACGCTGGGCACACCTGCACCTACACTAAATAGGGATTACTTTCAGGCTAGGCAATATACTAATTATCCTCTTTATCTCTAATCAAAAAATTGCAGCCTGCCAACTCAGCAAGGTAATGTCCTATTTTGTTTCTGTTTCACAGGCCCTCAAGAAGATATACACTATTCAATTTTAACCGGAGTAGGGAA